TTTATACTGGAGTAGTTTAATGTGTTAAATATATCTTAATTAGTCTTTTAGTCAAACTTTGATTAATTTGTAAATACTAAGTCCCGTTTTGGAGTCATTAAGGGCCTGTTTTTGTGCTTCTGTATTTATAAAAGGAACTATTGTGTGACAGATGTGTTTATTCTTTCCTTTTCACAGTCCGCTGGCCAAGCTGCTCTTTCCAGCCGTCGACTCCAGTCTGCTGAAGTTCCTTTACGACGACAACCAGAAGGTGGAGCCAGAGTGGTACATACCCATCATCCCCATGGTGTTGATAAACGGCGCAGAAGGCATCGGGACAGGCTGGGCCTGCAAGATTCCAAACTACGGTCCGCGCGAGATCGTCAACAACATCAACCGCATGCTGAATCACCAGGATCCCCTACCCATGGTAAGAAAAGGAATGCTGTGAGGAGCATTGTGCAGCGAGCAGCTTCTGAAGACAGAGGAGGCCTCTGATATTGTGTTTCTAATATATGTAATAATTGAAACAGACGGGAACAAACTGGGGCTGGAAACTATAATTGCAAGATTTGTGGTTCAGGCAGGCCGGAATCCCAGAGTAACTTTACTCATGTGTCTGTCCCCAGCTTCCTAGCTACAAGAACTTCAAAGGAGTCATTCATGAACTGGGCCAGAACCAGTACTTGGTCAGCGGTGAGGTGGCTGTCCTGGACAAGAACTCCATTGAGATCACCGAGCTGCCGATCCGGACCTGGACACAGGTGTGTTCTCCGATGAAACGGCACGATTCATCTCGACTCCTAGATGAGCGTTGTCGCATTTTCGCCCGATAGACCGCCGCTTATTCCAGCTTTGGATAAATGCTCGCTCTTGCGTTCCACAGGCGTATAAGGAGTCTGTGCTGGAGCCCATGCTCCAGGGTACCGAGAAGACCCCAGCCCTCATTAACGACTACAAGGAGTACCACACGGACACCACCGTCAAGTTTCTGGTGCGGATGAGCGAGGAGAAGCTGGCGCAGGCCGAAGCTGCAGGCCTTCACAAAGTCTTCAAGCTGCAGTCCACCCTCACCTGCAATTCCATGGCAAGTGATGCCCAGCTAGACCGACCCACACCGACTCGCAGCTGCATTGTTTGACACTCTCGCTAATCAGAGGCTGCCTTCTCCTCACAGGTTTTGTTTGACCACATGGGGTGTCTGAAGAGGTACGAGTCCGTCCAGGAGATCTTGAAGGAGTTCTTTGAGCTCCGGTTGCACTATTACAAGCTGAGGAAGGATTGGCTGGTCGGCATGTTGGGGGCGGAGTCTGCCAAATTGTCAAACCAGGCACGTTTTGTGTTAGAGAAAATCGAAGGAAAGCTCTCTATTGGTAAGATGTTTCACAGTGCTTTATACATGTTTTAGCGCAACAACAGAGCAGTTCCATTTTAAATTTGTGGCATTAGCAGTTACGACCTCGTTCTCAGTTATTAAATGCATGGTTTTTATTCTAGAAAATGACAAGGAAAAATAAAGCTAAAAAGTTCCTTTTTAGCCTTCCAGCCAACATCATCAGATTTTGAAAGTATTTGGTGGCAGAATGTGTGCAGTGGCCAGCTCACAGCAAGCTCTTGGCAGCCACGGCGGGTCCCAAGAGGAGCCCACACAAAGGCTTCCAAGTGCTTAGCATATCTGCAGAGTTCTGCTCATTTGTAAGATTCTGAAGGGATCACGTGCCGCGAATAGCATTCCAGCAGGGCTGTTAATTTCCCAGAAAGATTTAACAATAAGCCAGTTTCCAGTCCAACAATACCAGCGCTAAGGGCTGCGGTTCCTGTGGTGTGCAGCGCACATTGTTGCAGATCATGGCAAAGGGAAACGTTAAGCAAAGCACTTAACAGATGAATGAGTGTGTAGGACAGCTTTAAATGAGCCCCTTTCTTTGCCCTTTTGAATAAATGTTGCACAGGGGTGAATGTATTACTTCCAGTCAGTGATCAGTTTCAGCTGGTGCTTTGATCCAAAGGAGCATAATTTATACCCATTTAAGTAGCTGATTTTACAGGAGCTGTTCATTTGAAGTACTTTGCTCAGGGATACTGAACGCAGGGTCTCTCCTGGGACTCGAACCAACAATTCCCAACACTATTTTCAGGATGTCTGGTTGTGTTGGTTCATAGCCTGAAAGGTTAAGCATCAATTAGCCTGGTGCTAGCCCACTCACCATTTAAGGAGGAAATATATAGGATTAGACGCGCTAAGACAAGGTTCTCCAGTTCTAGTCCTGGAGGGCTAGTCTGCAACATGGTTTGTGGATTTCCCTGCAGAAACACACCTTATTCAGCTCACCAACCAATTGCTAGGATTAGTAGGCGTGTCTGAGCATGGAAATCTGCAAAAATGCGTCGCAGACTGGCCCTGCAGGACTGGAACTGGGGAATCCTGTTCTAAGACTTCAAGATTAAGAGAGTAATGGTTATGAATTTCTCTCTATAAGATGGGTGGCCCACTGTATGCATTCAGAAGGCGTTTACTCATAACTACATCTGCGTAGCTGATACTAATATGAGGACAGTTACTGTCCAGATTCAGATTTGACATTTGCTGACCTAATGCAGGGTTAAGCCCCCGGAGTACCGGGCAGGCAGGGGCCCAGCTGGTGCTGAGTGTGCTTCACATCAGTGCCCACGTTCTGCCACCTTTAAGCCGTCTCCCGTGTTCCTCGTAGAGAACAAGTCGAAGAGGGACCTCATCAGGATGTTGGTGCAGCGAGGCTATGAGTCTGACCCCGTGGCCGCATGGAACAAAGCCCAGGAGAAGGTGCGATACCAGCACAATCCTTATTATTTACTGTAACCCTCTGGAGTCTAAGGGTCGGGGAGACACTTTCACTGACTGGTGCATGGTCACACATTTCATTCAATATCATAAACTTAATTTATGGCAAATTATTTCTTATGTATTTGTTTTGGCATAAAACTCATCTTAATCTTAGTGTACTTTGTAAATATGTCAGATTTATGTGAAGTTTGAAATTTGACATTCAAAGTATAGACATTGCAAAATGCAGTTTGGAACACATGCAGAAACATTATAAAAGTACATAGCAAGCAATGGTGGCAGTTTGTTTTGATCCCAGATATCTGATCACCAAAGTCTTGGCTACATGAAGATGACTAAATGGTGTAGATGCAACATTCATTTGGATAAATAAATAAGAAAAACTGAACTCACACCACTATTTCTGGCTCCTTTCATCGAATATGTAGCAACTTTCATGTATATGAATGAGCCATTGTCACCTGGCCACGTCCCCAACCCCCTTTTATGGCGCTGAAGGGGACGTATCTGGATCGCGTTTCACCGTTGCGCTGTTAATCAAATTACCATGCGAATGCGATTTGAATACGCGCTAATGCGGCTATTTAGAATGTGAATAGCGATCTTCGGGTGAGAGTGGTACTACACGCCCCCGATGCAGGTAAAACAAAGTAAGGTGACATGGTTTACTTTTTTACCAATTTAACCTAATTTAAAAAACTTTAATACTTCTGACAATGGACGTTTTGAAAAGAAGACAGATTACGGATTTAGCGTTTTTTCTATGTTTCTATAATAAGATTTCAGCGAGTTATGAACTGAAATACATGAGAAAGATACTCGGCGTCGCCGACGATGCCGTCGACTCCAGAGGGTTAAAGAAGCACTGGAACAAAGGTCCTGTCCTCTGTGCCCCAAAGAGACAGATTATCCATGAAGTTAATCTATTTAGCTTGTAATAGGGACAAATGTATTTACCTGCACCAAAAGTACAAGAGCAGGGCATCAAATAAGGGTCCAAGCAACTAGAGGAGGCAGGACCAACCAATCAGATATCTTGGCCCACCTCCTCTACAATCGGATTGGTTATCACTCTGAACCAATCATTTTTCCTTCTGCTTACACTTTTGCATAAGTAAAACTCCCACAAGCATCAAATATGCACGCACGCGCCTGTATTTTGATTTGGTGATTTATTGTATTTCTTCTGCTCCGGTCCTGGTTTAAAACCATTCTCAGTCTGGTTAACTAAGGGACCAAACCCCTTTACTTTCAAGCAAAATGGCTCCACCTTTGAGATGGATAGATATTCATGCTTTATTGGTTCCAGGGGGAAATTGGTTTTGGAAAATCAGGCAGCCAGGGTCCTTGAAGGGTCCTTGCAGCCTCCGTTCCGATTGGGTGGATTGATTTATTTTTGCCTGGGTTTCCTCAGTCTCTCGAAGACGACGACAAGGGCAATGACAGTGACAGCTCCGTCGACTCTGGCTCATCGTCGGGCCCAAACTTTAACTACATCCTGGGGATGCCCTTGTGGTGCCTGACCAAGGAGAAGGTGGAGGAGCTGCTGAAACAGAGGGACACAAAGGTAGTGAATCACGGGGAGGGTATTTTGGTCCTCTCGCAGCGGTGTGGCTTCCGTGATTCAGGGTCTTCCACAGTTAAAACTAAACTTTTAGCTGCTGTTTTTGCTGACGTGAAGAGTGGGAAAGTGACCTCATGCAAGCTTGACTTATGTTATGCTGTGAGTTACATCATCCTTCTGTTGCAGAAAGCTGAGCTGAATGAGCTTCAGAGGAAGTGTTCTGAAGATCTCTGGAAGGAGGATCTGGCTGTCTTTATTGAGGAGCTAGATGTAAGTGTCTTGAGACACTGGAAGTTGTTACTTCCCAGTTCCAACAAAGAAACAAACCTTGAATAACAGTTCCTACCTACTTTGGATTAAAAACCATAGCTGGTTTTCTCCACTAGGCTAAACCCATTTCTCCAGCTTAGTTTGTGGGTTTACTTCTGTTTTCCATCAGTGTTTTATGGGTTTTAACTTCTTTTCTGCCCTCTGGTATCAGCGGGTAGAGGCACAGGAGAGAGAAGACATCAGCGCGGGCAAGGCCAGCAGGCTGGTGAAGGGAAAGATTGGCAAGCCCAAGGTGAAGAAGATGCACCTGGAGGAGACGCTGCCCTCGCCGTTCGCCCGCCGCATCGTGCCAGAGATCACCCAGGCCATGAAGGCAGACGCCTCCAAGAAGATGACCAAGAAGAAGAAGGTAGGCTGTGAGAATGCGTCAGAATCCATGAGGGACGTGTTTCACATACAGTACCAGCCAGAAGTTTGGGAAGCCAAGCCACCTACGAAGGAGAGTGGTAGTGTCACGTCACATGACCTGGCCACCTGACACCTCAGCATAAGTGGGGAACTCATGGAAAGTGGTGGAGAGGAGAGAGCGGGGGCAGTCAGTCCCTGGAGCAATGAGGGTTAAGGGTCTTGCTCAATGAGCCCAGTGGTGGGATCATTCTGCTGGGATTTGAACCAGCAACCTTCTGAGTCCCAACCCACAGAGCTGCACCCCTCCCCAAATTATTATTTTTTTTAACTTTTTAGGTCAGTGCATAATTCCATGTGTTGTTTTAGTTTTGCTGTCTTTGTAATTCATCTAAAATGTAGAGAATAGAAATGGCTAGGTGTGTCCAAATTTTTGACTGGTACTGTATATATGTGCAAGTTACTGAAAATGTGTTACTAATTATTTCATTTAGAAATAATTCAATTACTTTGTCAATTCTGCATATAAAAGTTATTAGTTACTGGGGAAAGTAACTTTCGTGTTACTTCAAATCTCTTATTAATACATGACTACTCAGACAGCACACATACATCACTGGGATATTTGTTTAAGATTGGACCATCGTTAAATGATTGCACTCCACTTAGGCCCATAGACGGTATTTTAATTATTGCATATGTTTCAGCAAGCACATTTTTCCCAGTAATCTAGCTTTAATCGGTTCAGCATAACTGTTAGTCTTGTTATTCCTGGTTTTGTCACGTTGTCAATATTTTAAATAATAAACATATAATTTTTAATCAAATTGTTTGGTATATGGTTTTAAACAGTATGTCTACATGCAGGGTAAACGATAAATGTACCCGATCATATATAAATATATATAGTATAAGCCTATTGTGGGTTATATAGCCTAATCAGGAAAAATAACAGCAGGGTAAATGTTGCAGAGTGATGTCATTGACATTGTGTTGCTGTTGACATATATCACAGACACTGGGGGGGGATCAGATCAGTATTCGTCAGTAATGTCTCTGCGATGTTGTTCCAGTGAGTAAATCATCTCACAGAGATGGTTTGCTGATGGATTTTAAAGCATCATATCCATCCATGTGTTGCTGCTCCGACAGTGAAATGTCAAATTATATCTATCACTGTACCTAATATCAGCAATTCATTGTGTTGACGTTCAATCATAAACAGGAAATTGGAGGAATAGGCTACATTTGTCCATTAATATTTTCATACAAGACAAAAGTAACGAGTAACGAGCCCATTTAAATTTCAGTACTTACTCGTTACCGCCAAAAGTAGTGGAATTATAGTAATGAAAATGACACATTACTACCAACATCTAGGATGTCCAGTAGAGGGAGTACTAAAGTCAACTGTCCTGAAGAGGGTCTGGGCATTTATTTGGTTTGGAAACGGGTCAGCAGACAATCGTGTCTTGTGTGTGTGTGTGTGTCACTGTTTAGGGCGAGTTAGACCTTGCAGGGAAGATGGAGTTTGATGACGAGCTGGGCACGGTGACCTCTGAGGGCGGCGTGGGCGAGAACTCCATTAGCTTCCCCCCAGCAACCAACCCAAGCGCAGCCAAAGTGAAAACGCCGCGCGTGAAGAAGGAGAAAAAGGAGCCGGGTGAGTCGGGAACGTTCAGCTCTCTGACGGTTTGCTGTAGGGATGCTTCTCTGGCATTTTCTTACTCGCATACCACAGAGATCTCTTCCGCTTCCAGTGTGTCATTGAGATATAAATGTCGTTTACTTTGTCCTTCCAGCGGCTCCCAGAGCGAGGAAGACGCCAGGACCCAAAGGGTCCACCAAGAAGGCAAAGAAGCGGAACCCCTGGTCAGACGACGACTCCAAGTCGGACAGCGACCTGGAGGACAGGGACAGCGAGCCAGTGGTCATCCCCCGCGACACCAAGAGCCAGAGGGCGTCAGGTAGGCG